AATATAGATTACATATAAATCATCTATTTTGATATCACCACACTTCGAATTTAATAGTAGTTATTGAACTATAAATTAGACCTTATTCCTCGTGAGAACGATACTCATAACTCACAAATCTTATTACTTGTACAACAATCACGTACGCTTACGGGTTTCATGCGAACAAGTTTTTGCCGCCGTTGTCGGGGAATAATGGATTTAATTTAATTTCGTAGTTTCTATTTAGTTTGGTTTTTTTTGTTCTCTTAGGCCTTAATTGTAATACCTGATATCTTTTTGTTTTACGTTTTGTAGATTTTCATTAGTTTATACAAGATCCTGACGTGAAAGAGATATTCTATATAGATCCCAAAATCGAAAGGACTTTCAATCACCACCGAAGAGAACAAAGAAGGACAATGGCAATGGCTGAGAAACATGATCAGATTCAAAATGCATTGCAGAATGTAGCACTTCCAGTTCAGTAACCACCCTCGGCTCAACCTGTATTGGTTAAGGATTATGTGAATCCGCCACGGGCAACGATTCAACCTCTGATCATCTATCCACCCTTTGGACAAACTAACTTTCACATCCGACCAAGTGCTATAAACCTCTTTCAGAATCATCAAGACATCAGGTTCAGCGGGAAAGCTACGGAAAATATGCATGAACACATTCAAGCTTTTACCATGCTGTGTGACATGATTAGCTATGAGGGGATGTCACATGATGCATTTCGAATGCATCTATTTTCTCACACTTTGAAGAGGGTGCAAAAATATAGACGATGTCACAACCTCTTGGGAGCATCGTATTGTGGAATGACAAAGTACAAAAATTCACTATGAAATTCTTCCTGCCATCTCGAATCCACCAAATCAGAAACGAAGTATATCTTTTCAGACAAATCCAGAACCATGGGACAGATTCAAGAGCTCATTTAGGAAGTGTCCAAATCTTGACATTCCTAAATTGGTGTAAATAAATCTATTCTACAATGGATTACGCTCTGAATTTCGTAATATTATAGATGCTTTTGCGAGCGGATCAATTTTGACCATCGAGGTAAATGATGGACATCATCTATTTGAGAGAATTGCAAAGAATCAGGCTAACTGGCTATCTGATCAGGACACTCCTAGAAGAGTAGCTGGAATACACAATGTAGACTCAGTGACAACATTAAGAGCACAAATTGAAGCACTAACATTGAAGCTTGATAAGTTAAATCAATTTGTGCACATGGTACAACATCTAACTTCGATTTGTACAGGTCGTGGGACAAATCACATCACTGTAAGTTGTCCATTGGTTTCTACTCATATGGGTCAACTAGAACATGTCAATTATGCTTAGAACTGTCAGAGGAAAGATGGACCTTACCCACACAACTACCACCCAAGTTTGAACAAGCATCCCAACTACGTATGGACGGATAATTCATATCAAGTAAATCAGATGAGGGGAAATCCACCAGTGATTCAGGAACAAGAAAATAGGTAATCCATGGAAGATCTACTTCTCAAGTACATCACCAAGACTAAGACAGTGATGCAGAATCAACAAGCCTCGATCAAAAACTTGGAACAACAAGTGGGACAGATAGTGTAGAAGCCCGAAAAAAATGA